TCTTAAAGGTCTTTTCCAACCTAAATGAAGTGATTCTGTGATTCTATGTGAAACTGTTTAAATTAAAACCATTTGCATTTAAAAAATAATGTTTAAAAAATGAAGCCTCATTAGATGAGTTTTTTTTCAAAAATGAACTTTTGTCTGGTTCCATTTTTAATAGAGAAGTTGAAAACTCCTGACAAGAGAAAAGAGGTTGTTAATGGAATTATTTACAGACTGTTAATGACACAAATGCTAGAAGGCTACCCTCCAATAATTAATTTTGTTGCAAGTTATATACAGATTCCTGGTCAAGAATATATTCAGAAAATCTCTTGGCAAACCAGCTGGCACGTGGCTGTCAAACAGTTTGAAGGATTGTATTCAGGATTCTCTACCCAGAGCAAATGGGAGATGAACTGATCAGAGAAAGGGAAGCAGGAAGCAATGGCTGAACTGCCAACACACCTGGTCCTGCTTTCTCACCCCCACAGTGACACTTATGGCAAATATGTGTTGTCCCTGCAGGACTTAAAGTGCTTTAATACCTCATTTTGTGAAATTATTTGTACTGTGTGGATGAAAAATACCTTGTAAGCACAAAGTATTAATTAAAAAAATGCTTTTTCCAGCAAAGAAATAGGGTTGGGAAGTAAGTATATGTGTATAAAGCTTCATTTGTACTTGGAACTTTTTATAAAAATATGCTTGAGATCTACAGTACAGAAAAGTCTTAAAGCCCAGGTGGTTTAGATTCTGTACAACCAAGCCTTGAAATAGCTTTACTTGCCTGAAATAAAAACAAAAATCACATCTTCCATGTTTCCAGTCTAAGGTTTCCAGGCTTAGTCAATAATATCTGCTCATTTATCAGCCCCACACAAGACAAGTGGCTCCTCGCACAACAGCTCTGTCTTGCCTTGGTTCTGTGCCCTGGTTCCAGAGCCCTTCTCAGGCCGAGCTGCAAGGTGTCCTACAGCCCCTGCCCAGCATCCCTGGGGGTCCGTGCTTGCTGCTCGCACCCCAGCGCTGCAGAAAGAAAGGATGCAGCTCTGAGGCCGTTTGCAGGTGCAGCACCCTGTGGTAGTATCACTGTCCTGGCGACGCTTGTGGCGTTTTCTGCCATCAGTGTGACAGAATCAGCTGTTGTTTGCTAGTCCGTTAGCATCGGTAGCAGTGAGGATCAACAACTCGCTGCGAGTGCAGGGCTCCTTGCTGAATAAAATCATAGAATAGAATCACAGAATCATTATGGTTGGAAGAGACCTCAAAGATCATCAAGTCCAATCCTAGCTACTTACACAAATACCAGTACTGATCTAGTACTATTTGTTCTCTTAGCCTCTGTGCATTGGGAAAGAGATGTAGAAAGGGTGGAGATCACATCCTGAAATTTCCCAAGCTCATCTTGTCAAGTTAATTTTTTTTCCAGCTTGTAGTAGACCCCCAAGCAGATTTGATCTAAATTTTAGTGCCAGTGTTATTGTGAGAAGGAGCTTCAAATGGATAGTGCTCATACAGTTGATCTATTTTTAAAAGGAAATCCTTTTTAACTCTCAGAATATTAGATTGGCCACTCTACTTTTTCATAAAGATCAGTTCCAAATGTAGCTGAAAACCTGAAAAACTTGGAGGGTGCACACTGTCAATATTTTATGGCCTGCGGTGAAGGATTCTTAACCTTTTCATTCTAGTTACTCTGATAATGCTTTCTCCCTACATCAAAATGAATTTTCACTGATCCCCCCATCATGCTTTTGGACTCGCTTAAGATGCTTCCCATTGAGATCTGCTGTTTATGTGAAATCAGCTATCACTGTTTTTCAGTTTACACAAGGAGCTCTTAAGAAAAGGGTACTTGCTGTACTTCCAGATTTCTGATTCCTGTTCCCCAAAATTCACTTATGTGAAAGTAAAATATTCAATATCTGCCAGGCTCAAATAACAAAGCCACACTTCAAAATAAATTGAATAGTAAAAATCCAATAATCCTAATTTACCAGGAACATCTATAAACATTTATCTTCTATATAGTTGGAATGGACTTTGACAGATCTGCATGTGTTTAGCCATAGCAAGCACAAAGCAATACCTCTGCATCTGTTTTATCCTCATCCTGAGAATTTCTCTGTGCTGCTGAGACAGGAGAGGTAATTGAATGTTCTTCATTTCTGGCAGGTACTGGACTGGATTGAAAATCACGGGGAAGCCTTTCTGAGTAAACATACAGGAGTGGGGAAGTCTCTACACAGAGCACGTGCACTGCAGAAAAGACATGATGATTTTGAAGAGGTAGCACAGGTAAGAGTTGGAATCAGACTTCTGCTTTCTGGCTTGCTTTTTGTTACTCCTCTTGTATATTGAAAAAAAAAACTATTGCTGTTTTGGGTCACACTGCTCTCTTCAAACATTTGGAGCTGACCAGGATCCTGTCTCCCAGGTTTGAAAGTTAGCCTGCACACTGCAGAGCATGGTAGCAGCAGGACTTATAATCAGAAAATCGCCAGTGGGCAGTCTCAAAACCTATGAGAAATTGCAGGCAGTTTACAGAACAGTAATGCAACATGTTAGCACATAGAAGAGGATGGTTATGAGTGAGAATGACAGAAAAATCAATTGTAACTCCTACAGTGGAAACTGAGGACCTTGACAATAAGGTGGAAAGCAGCAGCTAGTAAAGAAGCAGGAGAAGCACTAGAGTGTGTTTGCAGTAAGGACAACTACCCTTCCACTCTTGTTGAGAGTACAGTGTATTATGTGGAAGGGTTTTTTGTTTGTTTTGGAATGAGAGGCAATCGTTACAGGTAGACATTATTATTATTTATTTTCCTCATAGCACAGTGTAAGCAAGGCTTGTCCAGGAATATGATGTGAAGCAAAAGCTTATAACTTTTCCTCGAAGCATGGTCATAGTAGATGTTTAAACGTACATCCTGTCTTTATTTATAGAATTTAAAGGAAAGAGGACTTTTGATAAATCCTTCCAGGGACTGAATAGCTTTTTTCTTTTTTTTTTTTTAATTTTTATTTTTTAAGTATCTTATGGCCAGAAATTATCCAGTCTCAGCTCTGGTTGTCAGATCGTGTTACGCCTTTTTGTTTTAGATTTGAAAATCTGTCAGAAATTGACCTTCTATAAAGGTACTTCTGCTTGGGGTATTTCAGATAAAATCCTGATTGATCTATGTAAAGCACAATGTATCAAATGCTTTGTCTTCCCACTGCACACAAGGCAGGTTATTGTTCAAATATTTCACTGTGGCATAAGAAAAAAATGTATTAGACTTTAGTTTTATTTTTCTGTAGTACCCTTCCCATGTGCTGGCCTAGTTTAGTTTAAGATGTTTCCAGCAACAGGGACGTACTTCTTTCACTATGCCCTCAGGGAAACTATTTCACTGCCTGATGGCAGCTACTGGCTAGATTTTTTTTTCCTCTTCTTCATAGTCAATTTATATTTCTCCCAATCTCCCCCCTCCCCTCCTTGTTTATATCCCTTTAGTCTTATTTATCTCTCTTAAGAAGATGAATGCTGGGGAAGGAGATGAACTAACAACCCTGAAATAACTGTAGAATGTTAACATGTCTTCTCCTATGTGCCTCTTAAACCATGTTAAACGTTTAATTCTGCTGGCATGTTCTTATTAACCAGTCCCTTAAATATCTTTTGTCATCTATTTCTTTGGATCCATTCAGTTTGCCAACATCCTTCTTTTAATTAGATGTTCATCTCTTGACGGAATATTCTATTGCTTGGCTTGCTAGTGAACTTCAGTGTTACCTTTCAGCTGTGATGGGATGTCTTTGCATATCATTGACAAATCATGCAGCCTGAAAGCAGCAGTTCTAGACTTATGGGTCTCTAAAATTTCGTGGGACCTTATGTGGATTTAAGCTTTCTCGTAATAGGCTTGAATTTCTAGAATTACCTTTCACAAATTTATTAAAATGGACCTTAGGCTAGAGGTTGCAAACCACAGTTCTACAAGGCCTCATCCAAACACACAAGTTAGTGGGAGGTTTTGTTCTGAAATCAACATTAAGACCATTTCCAGAATGTGTGCTTGAGTCAGCTGTTACTGGATGCAATGCTGGGTTAACAAATGAAAATGAAGATCATGTAATATACAGGAGGTGAAACTAGGTGATTTAATGTTCTTCATGGCATTAATATTTTCTAAATCTCCCTTCTCTATTATAAATTAGCTTCATAATTCCAGTTACATTTTGCATTTCTGGATCACAGTTAGCTTTTTTTTTTTCTTTTTTACCTCCTCTTTGAGTAGTATTTCACTGGAGAGGTAGGAAACAAATTAAGAACAGGTGAGAAAAGACAGAAAAATAACATGGTCTTGACAATAGAGATGAGAGCAAGCTGTGTAACTGTCTGCACATGGAAACAACAGCTCACTTAAGGCTTGCTCCACCTGATGTAATTTGGAGAAGCATCCCCTCATCAGAGTTTAGGAACCTTACAGATGTAGAGCTTGCATGTGTAGGTACTAGAGTAAGTCAGAAGAGAATTATTTCACTTAAGACTTTTCTAACCTCTCTGTTAGTCCTCCTTCCATACTATTTCTTCACAGCTCTCTGTGAATAACTTCAGACACATTTCTATGCACTTCATGAGGCCAAATTCAGAGCAAAGACTGTACAAATCTAGTTCACTGGATGACCGCATGTTCAAATGAAAGTGGGTGTTTGGGAGGAGGATGGAGAGGAAAGAGAAAAGTATAGTTTCCATGGGTGTAGAATCTCTTAGGTTCCTCTAAATCTGATTCTTTTACATCTTATGCAATAGCATCAATGAGCGTCTCATTGCTCTGCCTGGACACTTGTGAACAGTCACAATCAGTCCTGCACTCTGAGTATGAAGTTTATGGTGCCTCCTAATTAGAAATAAGTGACACAAGTCGAATGTAGTTACCTCCCCCCGGCTTTGACAGGAATAGTTTCCTCTGGTGCATTCACACCAGAATACTAATGCTAATTTATGAGGCCTGTCTGCAGTGTGACACTGGAATGTGGTGCTGGCAAATGGACGTGGGGACATGCACTGAGGGGAAGTGAAAGGAATCTCAGGCTTTATCTGAGGTCAAGGACTTAAGGATATAATACTCTCTGCTTTGGAAAGAGTAATAGCGAGGGTAAGAGGGGAGGCCATAAATTTATCACACCTGGAGTTCTTCTGCAGAAGCTTCTCGTGAGGTCGATTTGGTGGTTGGGAATAAATCTCCTCCCCACTCTGATTATGACCGGTTTTTATTCTTCCTAACTCACTTCTTGATGCTTAACTCTTTAGAGTTGCTTGGTAATTATTTCTGACTTAAGTTTAATTATCTGTCATTTTTCTCAAGGTAGTGAATACCTTTGCCATGACTAGGGTGGATAACTGGTATCGCTTATTGCCAATATAGCTATATAATAAAGCACGTGTGCTAAGATGCTGAAACAAAGTGATGAGTTTGCCCATTCCCCTCATCGGAATGTTAATTACTGGTATTAATGACAATAAAAAGAGATGTGTTTGTTTTTCTTAACAAATAAAAAGTGTAGGACTGACATACCTGGTGAGATTGACAGTATAATCAATAGTACTTGCTATTGGCAGATCTCTGAAAAAAACACTTATTCTGCTATACAGTATACATTTATTCTCCAAAATCTACTTTCTTTTGGCTCTGATATATTTGTTCTTAACTCCTCCTGTTTCAGGAAGGCACTTGAAAAGATCAGACTAGAAGCAATTTTCATGAGTTTTCTTGATATTTTCAACAGCAGGCAAAGCATTCATGTTCTTGAATGCTGCCTAACTGCGTGTAAAGAAGAGGAGTGTATCTGGGATTGCTGTGCTGAGAAATGCTCTGATTGACTGACCTGCCAAGGCACTAGATTGAGAGGTGAAACGTGCTCCTTCTATGTCTGATTAGAAACTCCACAGATTTATAAAACTGGATGTAGTGATTCAATCAGGCATGGCCCCAATAGATCACATTCCTGCATACAGCTGTGCTTGGAAAATGTCCGTGATTTTAGAGCGCTGCATTGTGGGCAAGAGGAAATATAATTTGGGGTCCCTTTCTCATAACTGATGTTTAGACAATGCTCTGGCAATTTTTCTGACTTGTGTTTATTCTACATGGAATGCACAGATGGCAAATGTTTGAATTTGGATTAAAAAGCCTGAGCTCATGGGAGGGAGGTTGTTATCTTGTACGTACCTGAGACTGTTTCTTAGCCAGTGCTGATACCCTTCAGAGGCTGCCACCTTGAAGATGCCGACTTTAGGCATAGTGCCCTACCACACAGTGAAACTTAGTAGTCAGGCATTATCGATGAGATAGATTTCAAGATATCTCCAAAGAAATACCATTCTGGATGAAGCTGCAATGTTCCTGCAGTGACAGCCTCTTTGCTTGGCTGGAATTATTTTGTGCAAATCAGGTAACCATAGTTCAGCCAGTTATGATTGTAAATCCTAAAATAATCTCATTTTAGGCTCTTCAACTTTTCCTTATTGAGGGCTTCTATCCTGAAAACCAGTATGCCTTCCGATTGGAAAATTCTGTTAACTGGATTGCATTCCCAAAATCTCCCAACGCTTCAGCACTATGGAGTTGAGCTGTACATGCTGGAAACCCTTCTCCTATTCTCTCTAGAAGAGAGGAGCCACAGATCATTCTCCTCCCTTCTGGCATTCCCGCCAACCGGAGGGATGAGATGGCTGGCCTTCTCGACATCCACCTCTGCTCACAAAGAGCATCACTGCCTTTGTGCTGGTGCAGAGCTAGGAAGGATACTGGGGAAACTCCTCTGTTAATCCCTTGCACTCTACTGCCGCAGGACTGAGTGATTTTGTGCTTTGAACGATCCGAAACAACCAATTTCTGCAGTCTTTCTGCATTTATGAGCTTTTCCATCAGATGTGCTGTTAAGATTTCCTGTCGGGCAGGTTTATCGGCATTTTTGGGCTGCGAACGCCCACCAGTACGACTATCAACCTGCAGATGGCACTCGCAATGCGTTGTAAAAGCCTTAAGCTCCGCTAATGGTAAACAGAGATGTTTCTAATCCAAAGTAACCAAACATTGTCTCGAAGTGAAATGAAGCAGAAGTGGAAGCTGGCTCGCACGCTGTCCCCTTGGTGTTCTCCCACCCCTGCCAAAACTCGCATTGTTCAAGGTCACCCAGAAAAACAAGCCTCCTATTTTTTTAATTTTTTTTTTTTTTTAATGCAAAGCTGAGCAGTCCATGTGTTAATGCAAGGTGGTGCTTGTCATCTGTGTTTATGGGATAAGCTG